CATCCCTTCAACTTTTTCACCTGGGTCCCTCTATCCCCTCTCTGGCAACCATCAGTTTGTCCATTGCATCTATGAGTCTGTTTCTGTTTTGTTTGTTCTTTTATTTAGTTATTTAGACTCTACATATAAGTAGAATCACATGGTATTTGTCTTTCTCTGACTTATTTCATTTAGCATAAAAGCTTCCAGGTCTATCCATATTGTCACAAATGGTTAAGAGTTCATTCTTTTTTTTATGGTGGAGTAATATTGCATTGTATATATGCACCACAACGTTTTTGGTTTTTTTTTAAAATATATTTTATTGATTTTTTTATAGAGAGGAAGGGAGAGAGATAGAGAGTCAGAAACATCGATGAGAGAGAATCATCGATCAGTTGCCTCCTGCACATCTCCTACTGGGGATATGCCCGCAACCCAGGTACATGCCCTTGACCGGAATCGAACCCGGGACCTCTCAGTCCGCAGGCCGACGCTCTATCCACTGAGCCAAACCGGTTTCGGCCACAACGTTTTTATGAACTGGATAATTCTTTATTGTGGGCAAAATTGTGGGTCCCTGCCCCCAATGCCACTCATGTATTGAAGTCCTAACCCCCAGTCCCTCAGATGTGAATGTATTTGGAGATAGGGTCTTTAAAGTGGTAATTGGGGTAAAAACAAGGTTAGATAGATGGGCCCTGGTCCAGTATGACTGATGTCCTTATAGGAGGAGATTAGGGCACAGATGTGAGAACAAAAAAGAAAGATCACGTGAGGACCCAGTGAGAGCCAAGGAGAGAGCTCCCAGAAGAAACCAATCCTACTGACAACCTTATCTTAGGCTGCTACCCTCCAGAACTGTGAGGGGGGAAAATTCTCTTGTGGCACTTTGTTAGGGCAGCCCAGCAAACACTCCATGGGGGTTGGCCTGTGTGCTGTAGGATATTTAGCAGCATTCCTGGCCTCTACCCACTGATACTAGTGCCAATTCCCCAAACCCAGTCGTGACAGCCAAGTATCTCCACATATTGCCCAATGTCCCTGGGGAGCAAATTTGTCCTCCCCTCCCCACTGAGAAAACTGTTTCGGATGGCCGCTGTCACCTCTGCACTGCCAGTGCTCAGCATGCTGCCTGCTACCTCACTGCGTAGACAGTTAAATATTACCCGAGTGAATTCACTTGCCTGCCTCCGTGTCTTGGCTCTCACTGCTCCCTTGCAAACTCATTTTGCTGAAAACAGTGTAGTAATAATTTCCAGTTTAATTTATAGCAGACTGTGTACTTTTTAACGATACAAGCACTTTTCCTTTTAGCATAATTTCTGGTAACTCAGACGTAAATATCACATCAATGTTAAGCCCACGCTATCTGACATTGCTCACACACTGCCCCTGAGATCCTTCGATGCATTCAGTGGGTGCTGCCGCCTTTAGTTTCCCTAGTGCACACTCGTGATTTTAGGTCAGGGGTGGGGAACTTTGTTTCTGTCAAGGGCCATTTGGATATTTATAACCTCATTCTCAGGCCATACACAATTATCAACTTAAAAATTAGTCTATTATTTGGGCAAACATTTAATTAACTCAACCCTAATGCCTTGGCAGGGCCGGACATTTCCCACCCCCCGTTTTAGATTAAATGACTATGACAAATTATTATGCAATCATTTGAAGCTCAGGGAACTCATAAAGAAAACAAATGGCCATTTAAGTGTTAAAACGCTTAACTCTAAGTTATAATGAGATTCCACACATTACCCAGAAACCTGAGAGCATACCAAAATGCCAAAGTCCACAGAGACCCTGTCTGGAAAGCGGAAGTCATAAACATCCTGGAACATTCATACATCTGTTGTCTTAACACTGCCACATTCGCTAGCTTGTCTCTGGAAAGCTGATGTATCTGGGCTGGGCGGTGGCGGCGGGTGAAGACTGACTGAGACGCCAGAGAGGCCTGAGGGACTCTGGAAGCAATGGGGACCGGTGCACATTTCACACAGAGATCATTTCTGACCAACCCCTTGGATGATTTGTAGCTTATATTCAACATACTGTTTCAAGCACATGATTTTAAATTGATGTAGAGTCTAGTCATTTACAAAATCCATTTATTGCAGCATTCTTTTAATGGCTAGGATTCAAAGTGTTAAAAATTCAATTTACCCAAGTGAAAAGAAAGACTAACAATAACCGTTTGTCACTGCCATTTCTGAAGACTGTGCCCAATGTTTTTAATTTATTGTTTGTGACTAACATCTGAATAATGTGTAAGACATGGGTCTAACAACTGACTACCTTAAACTCAGGCAACAACCATCACTAACTGCCATAATGGGCATGATGGCATTCAGACTCTCTCACACACACACACGCACGCACACACACGCATGCACGCACGCACGCACACCAAGGATGCTGACACCAAGGATGTGAGTTATGACATTCTGCCTTTTTAGAAATAGAGGCCTTAACTCCTTGACTGCTCCTGTAGTAAAAGGTTGAAGAATCCTTTCTGAAGTGGGTTTCTCCATGGAAGAGAAGGAGAATGGGTTAAGGACATTCTGAAATTTAGAAACAAAGCCAAACAAGAAAACCTTTGCAAAAAAAAGCCTGTGTACTGTGCAAAGCTGGTGAACATGGGAAGTCAGTATTTGAGAGAAAGATATCCCAGCAAAAGGTAACCTACCAAGTGAGGATGTTTTGTAACTACCCCCTCCCCCAAGAAAGACAGAAAAGAATGAAAAGTTGATTAAAAATATTTAGAATGTACACCCGTATGTGGGCATTATAAATATGAAATCTATATGGCAACAGAAAGTACCATATTCGGATCACTGCCCTGGGAAAGTCGCCAAAGCCACACTAGTTCCTATTCCTCTTATTTCTCGGCTCCATCTCAGCACTTTCTGGTCTTGTCCGACGATTCTGTGTTGGACTTGTTTCTGTGTCTTGAAGATCGTTTCTGAAAAGAGTAAAATAGAATTGGCATCTTAGGAAATAATGATCATTATTATTTATAGCAGTTTCTAGTTTACAAGTGTTTTCACAGACATCATTTTATTTAAACCTCTAAACAGCCCTCTACTCCACTGACCAATCTGTTAAAATAATAATAATTATTATTATTATTATATATTACTAGAGGCCCGTTGCAGGAAGATTCCTGCAAGAATAGGGCTTCCTCAGACCTATTCCTGAGACCAGAGCGAAGCGGAGAAGGGAGTGCTGCCTCGCTCCCTCCCTTCGCCGCTTCGCCCTCGGATCCCTCCCTTCTCTGCCACCTGGACTCTCTCCCTTCTCCTCCACTTTGCTCCCTTGCCAGGTCATGGATCCGGAGCCCGGATCCCGCAGGCAGCATGGTGTGCTGCGGGCCCCGCCTGCAGTATGCAAATTTAACAGCCATCTTTGTTGGGTTAATTTGCATACTCTTCTGACTGGCTAATGGGTGTAGTGAAGGTACAGTCAACTACCATCTTTGTCTTTTATTAGTGTAGATACTATAATTATAAATAATATAATTATTATTATTCCCACTTTACAACTGAGAAAACAGTGATTACTAAAGATCACAGACATAAGTGACAGAGCCAGGAACTGAACCCCTTTCTTCTGAATCAAAATCTAACAGTTTAAGCTTCTACTTAACATGTTAGAAAGCTGCAAAAAAAAAACCCCTAAACTGCCCCCATCCTGATAACAAACAAAGCCAGATAGTCCAAAATAATCCTAACTTTTCTGGATCCTATCAGAGAGCTGAGACTGTTAGGCATGAAAACAAATTTCCAAAGAAAGATAAGCCCCTCACTGCTGGCAGAGCACTGAGAAAGAGGTGGCTGTCAGCTGACATTTTTTCCTTTTTATTGAATTTATCTGGGTGACACTGGTTAAAAAAAATATACAGGTTTCAGATGCACAGTTGTACAACACATCATTGGACACTGTATTGTATGTTCACCACCCCAAGTCAAGTCTCCATCCGTCCATCACCAAGTCAAGTCTCCATCCGTCCATCACCATTTATCCCTTCTTCCACTTCCCTCCATTCTTGCCCTCTACCCGACAGGCAATTACCACACTGTTGTCCCTGGCCATGAGTTTTTCTGTTCTGTTTTGTTTTGTTTATCCCAATCCCCCCACCCCCCTCCCCCACCCCCCGCCCCCTTCATCCCTGAGAGCTGTCAGCCTGCTCTCCATCTGGGAGTGTCACTATTTTCTTGTTAGTTCATTTGAATGATTCTGAGATAGGGGCTAGTACTGAGGCCCTGCCACAGGGGGTCCACAGACACTTGCAGGCTCTCTTCCAGGCACTGCCTCCAAGTGCTCAGGAGAAAGGTGGGGAGCAGGGCAGGAAGACTGAAGAGAACCCACAAAAAAAGGCAAAAGATTTGAGGAGGCATTTCATCAAAAACCCAAGGATGAAATACCAGCCTCCATGATTTGGCATTCATGAAAGGAAGTTCATCATCATTAATCCTTAGGGAAATGCAAATTAAAACAATAAAATACTGTATATCTATTAGAATGGCTTAATAAAATAAAAAGTAAAACAATAACCAAGTACTGGCCAGGATATGAAGCAACTAGAACTCGCATACATTGCTGGTGGAACACAATTTGGCAGTTTCTTATAGCATGAACTTACACTTCCTATACAAGCCTGTAATGAATGCCACTCCTAGGTGGATATTTCTCTCTCATTGATGTTTCTCTCTCTCTATCCCTCTCCCTTCCTCTCTCTCTAAAACCCAAAAAAATGTATTTTAAAAAATTGAATTGAATTATAGGACACCCAACTGGTATTCTAGAATTGCTTTTTCGTTTGGGAAAACACCACCTCCCCCAAATCAGAACTGGTAGTAGAATTCATAGTACGGAAAGGTTTATTACTCACATAAAGAGGCTTTTCTGGGGAGAGCAGGGCAGGCTTCCAAAGTTGGTCTGGAAATGGAAACTGCCTTGGGTGGGATAAGAGAGAGGGTTCCCATATACAGACAGGGACTTGCACAGTTTGCCAGGACCAAAGGAGGGAGCACCCAGGATTTCCTATCAGCTTGTCCAAATGTGGGACAGAAGAGGAAGAGGAAGGGTTAAGACCTAAAAGCTGCCAGCAAACAAAATAATGGAACCAGACTCCTTATTACAGGGTGTGAACTGATGAAGAACTCAGTCCAGAGAATTACTATGTAGTGCCAGCTCACAGCTGTAGCACAGTGGGAGAAGCACTAGGCTTTTAGGCTTAGGAGATTCAAGACAATTCACCATCCTTCTGGGCTCAGATTTCTCACAAAACACAGTGAGTAAAGTTTCTTCTCTTCCGTGCAATCACAGGGATTAAATAATAAAATGAAAATGAAAGTACCTAATATTACAAGTACCACTGTCATATTAATTTATAACAATGTAGCACATATTAGGAATTTGAGAGATATTAGTTAAATGATATTTACCTTCTCTAATACTCAGAAGTAATTTTTGCTGATTTTATTAGTATTTACTTCTTAGAAATAATGGAACAAAGTTAAGAAAAACATATTGGCCAACATGCCAACTTCCTTGGGATAAATCTATTTCTGTCTCTGGATAAAGGTCTATTAAGAAGGATAGGTCTCTGGTTTTGTCACCAGATGATAGAAAACTCTTTGGTTTCTTTCTACTTAAATAGAAGGGCGACTCAATATGAGTTCATAGACAAGAGGCATGAGCTGAATCTTAGAAGAGGAAAAGTAGGAAGGATAATAAATGTGCCCAGAGATGATTTCCCAGATTCAGGACAGGAAGCCATGGTTTGATGGCAGTAGAGGGACACTAGGTTCAGAAGGAATGGACAGTGAAAGGCGGTCAATAAGCAAACAGATTGAACCTAAGATTTTGTGAAGTCAAATAAGCAAGACAAAACAATCAGAGTGATGACTCTGGATGAGTTCTGCATTGTAACAATTACTGCATACAGTTCTTGGCACAACACTTTAAAGGGAACATGAACAGACAGACTGGAGCCTGTATACATGCCTGAGACTTGCAGTGGCAGGGAGCTTCCCAGGTTCTTTTGTCTCAAGGAATCATCCTTCTTTCCACTATAGGCCAGGCCTCAGATGAATACGATCATTGTCTGGAGGCAAGTCCACAGGCCCACTCTGCGTTTAGCTTGCCTGGCTCTACACGCACAAACAGGGAGGCCAGGCCCATCGGCAATAATTTTTGATGGGCTTTTGCTCCTTGCTGCTCCTGGGTGGTTTCCTTTTCCATCATTTTTCTCATCTAACTTGTAAGGGTTTCTTGGGATTTGTTTTCTTCATCTTTTTTGCTTTTATATACTGAGATTTATATATGCTTATAATTACTGTATCTTCCTGATGGATTGATCATTTTATCATTATAAAATATCTCTTTGTCTTTAGTTACATTTTTGTCTTAAAGTCTATTTTGTCTAATATTAATTAGCGATGGCAGTTTTCTCTTGGTTATTGTTGCATGGTGTATCTTTTTCTATGCTTTTACTTTCAATTTACTTATCTTTGAATCTAAAGTGCATCTCATGTAGAACGCATATAGTTGAATCATGTTTTTTCTTAAAAAATCCACTCTGCCAATCTCTGCCTTTTAATAGAAGGTTTAATCCGTTTATGCTTAATGTATTTACTGACAAGGCAGGATTTATGAGTGTCATTTGCTATTTGTTTTCTATAGTGCTTATGTCATTTTTTTTGGTTCCTCTATTCTCTGCCTTCTTTAGTGTTAAATATTTTCTAGTGTACCACTTTAATCCCACTGCATTTCTTTTATTATATTTTAAATTTCTTAGTGATTGCCCTGGGGAATATAATTAACATATTAATTTATAACAAAATATGCTTAGAAGGATAACACAGATACTTATAGAATTGCTACACTTTGTTGAAAAGTAAAGTTGTGGAGGCTTTTCCTGATTCTGCCTCTAAAGCTACATATGGGGCCCTGGCCAGGTACCTCAGTCAGTTAAGAGCATCGTCCCAAGGTTGCAGGTTCAATTCCAAGTCAGGACACATACAAGAAGCAACCAATGAATGCATAAATAAATGGCATAACAAATCAATGTTTCTCTCTCCCCTCCTCTAAAGAAAAAATCCAAAAAACAAATAAATAAAGCTACATTATAGCATAAGCTTATTTACACTATTGTGCACTCAGCTGAAGTCAAGAGTCCTGGATTCTGATCCTGGCAGTGCCACGAGCTAGCTGTGGACCTCGATCTAGTCAATTTACCTCTCTGGAACCCAGCTTTCTCCTCCACATAATGAGGGGACTAGACTAGAGGAGTGCTTACACTTTTCCAGCTTTAACATTTATTGTCAAGTGATGGGGTTTGTTTGCTAAGTGTTTTCTTGTCAATAATGACTTTAAGAGGTCATCATTATTAAAAACGAACTTGGGCTCAGGAATTCTGGGCTACAGCTTGTCATAGCTGTTGGTATCAGGATAATTCCCAATAAAAGAGAACATGATTAGTAAAGGAGTGGCCTCCTCTCCCAGAATGCAAAGTTAAATAATGCTTAGCTGAAAGCAATGCAGCCAAAATCTCAAACTTTCATGCAACACTAGTTTGAACCATCAAATATCTCGTTAGTCTGATAAACCTACTCATGTTGTGTTCCTTGGATACACCACACTTTTCCATTTTCCTAGCGACTCAGCTATGAAATTACAAAACGTCAATAGCACAGCAAACCTCTCCTTTGGAAAGATAGTATAGCTTAAAGGTTGAAAGTGTTGACTTTGACACATTAAGCTACTCTCAGCTCCATCACTCATCACTTACTGCTAAGTGACACTGGGCTGGAAACTTACCTCTTTCAGCTTTAGTTACCTCATTATAAAAAGAAATAACCATACACCATAGTATTGTTATGTTATTTAAATGAGAGCACACACGTAAAGTATTTATTGTGGGTTAGATCATGTGGGTCATGATCCAGAAGGTAAGGCCAGAGAAGACTTCCATGAGAAGCAGGTCTCGAGTTTAGGCCTGAAGGGTAAAGGTAAACGAGAAGGAAGATGAGAAGAACATTCTGGGTAAAGATATGCGTGTTCAAAGGCCCTGCGGTCGGTGGGCATGTGGCATGAAGGGACACCTTTATCAAAGGAACAAAGGAAACGCACAGGTATGTGATAAAACAGAAGACTGGAGCAGACCAGATCATGCGGGACCTTTCAAGCATATTAAAGAGTCCCTTCTCAATCCTAAAAGGAAGAAGAAACTACTGCTATTTTTCAAGTAGAGAGATGAGTAACAGTGATCAGATTTTCATTTTACAAAGGTCACTCTAGCTGCAATATGGAGATTAGATTGTAAAGAAGCCAGAAAATAAGGATAGACAAATTTATTGCCCAATCAAGATACAATGGTAGCATGAACTAGGGCGATGAGAGGGGTAGAAATAAATGAATGGATCCCAGAGATATTTAAGAAGTAAAATCTATAGGAGTGATCACAGAGGCACTATAAAACAATATGTCAAGAATGACAGATATTGTTGGGGCGAGGGGAGGGTGTAAGAAATTGGCTGAAAGGGAACAACAGAAGAGGATCATGTTTTTATTTTGCTTTAAAAACGATATTGGGGGGTGTAGAAGAGTAGATAAGGTCAAGTGTTCAGCTTTGCACATGTTGATTTTGAAGAGTCTTAAAAATATCTAAGAAGAGACATCAAGTAGGTAGTTGATATATGTATCTGGGGCTCAGGAGAGGAGCTGGCAGGAGAGATAAATTTATTAGGAGATCAATTTAATCTTAATCATCAACAACTAATGATCTAGTTCAGTGGTTCTCAACCTTCTGGCCCTTTAAATACAGTTCCTCATGTTGTGACCCAACCATAAAATTATTTTCATTGCTACTTCATAACTGTAATGTTGCTACTGTTATGAATTGTAATGTAAATATCTGATATGCAGGATGGTCTTAGGTGACCCCTGTGAAAGGGTCGTTCGACCACCAAAGGGGTCGCGACCCACAGGTTGAGAACCGCTGATCTAGTTGAACAAAAGGAAAACAGGTTATTGTGTCTCATAAGCCAAAGAAGAGAGGCTTTTAAGAAAGGTGAAGAAGTCAATAGTAGCAAACACTGCTCAGAAGTCAAGAGAGATAAGGTCTAAAATATGTCCTCTGGATTTAGCAACATGGCGTCTTCAATGGCCTGAGTGAAAGCTATGTCAGAATGATGGGAATGGCTGAAAATGTTGAAGAGGAAGTAAGTGGGAAATAAGGAAACGGAGACTACAAGTAGAGATAATCTATTAAGAAAGGAAGGAGAGACACGATAGTAGCTGGAGGATGAGAATGAGCGAGATGAGAGGCTGAGTAAGGTGTTTTTGTCTATTGGCTATGTGGTTGGCTGGTTTTAGGATGAGAAAGATTTGAGCATGCAGGAAACCCAACAAAAAATTACAGTTGAGAGGAAAGGTTGCCTATACAAGAGGGAAGGGACACAGCCAAGTTCCTGACAAGAGAGTAGGATGAGGGAGAAGGAATTCGCCTCCAATAGGAGTTAGGACATCCCTTTATTACAGAAAGAGGAAATGAGGATTGAATCTGTACAAATGCAGGCAGATTTATATGTTTGGAGAGATGAAGATCCCACTATAATGGCTTTGGTTTTCTCTTATAAAGAACCAGGTCTTCAGCTCGGGGGATGGAGCCGCTGAAAAAAGCTGAGTTTTCAAATAATCCTTGTGAAGAACAGGACAAAGAAGTGATCGCAGGCACAGGAGAACTGCTGCTAGGCAATTCTAATGGCCTATGGGAGGTATGCGATCATGAAATTATCGTAAATTTTCCCTGCTGTACTACAGGTGACTCCTGTAGGTGGAGATTAATGAAAATGTATTATTTTTTGGCACTGTCCCTTTCCTGCTTACCTACCAGTGGGAACTGGAATAGCCTCCCACCCCCACCCCAAAGTCTCGTTTCCCAGCAGATTCATAAGTGGTATAGGAGAAGTAAAAGTGCATTTATTCTACACTAAACACTCTGGAGCCAGTGCTTAAGGCCAAACTATAATCACCTATTGGAACAATTTGTCTTTAGAAAAACAACTCCTGACAAATATTCAGAGTTATTACATTGGGATTCCATTTATAAGCAGAAATACATAGAAACAAGTAATAAACTGGAAATCTTTATCTGGAGGTGTATGAATTATTACTTTCTTAAATCAGAGAGCACAAACATTCTTTTGTTTGAAAATCAACTGTATAGAATTATAATTTCTCAGGTCAAAATGCACACAGAATAATTACGAGAACTCACTTATGTGATGCTTCCCAGGCTTCCTCTTCTTCAAGAATATCTCTTATGATGTCCGAACTGGAACTAAAAGGATATACATCAATATTGCCAGACAATAAGAAGACAGTATGGTTCTATTTATATAAAATTCTAAAAAAGGGTAAACTAATCTATAGTGACAGAAAGCAAACCAGCAGACCAGTGGTTACCTGTAAGGGGCACAGGGTGGGCAAGGAGGGGTTACACAGTAGCAAAGAAAACTTTGGGAGTGAGGGAAAGGTTCACCATCCTGATTATGGGGATGGTTTCATATCTGTATACTTATATATACATGTCAAAATTCATCCGATTATGTGCTTTAAATATTTGAAGCTACTTTTTATTTTTTTTATTTTTATTTTTATTATTTTTTTTGTTTTGTTTTCAGTATGAAAGTACTTTTAATTTCTTTACTGCAGGTACAATGGCATCCAAGTTATCAATTTCTGTAATAAAAAACACACAGTAATAATAAAAGAGTAGCACTGTCTAGTGATAGGCTCAGATGAAATGAAAATTTCTATGCAAAAGCAAACCTCAAACACAAAAGCAACAACACTGGTGCTTTCATGTACATGACATTTTTCTCCAATAGTGATAAGAGTTAGCAATAATTCAGACACAGATGCTTCACGGGGCATCTTGTTTGTAAAAGCTACCACATACCGACAAGCATTCACTGACTTTGATATTAAATTCATTAGCAGTATGCTTTTATTAATAGATCTTTCTGGCCACATTATGATATTATGTTACTGCCTCTTTAAGTCTGTACAATTACGTGAGTGAGCCTACATGGTGAAATCCCAGGTAGAGGCCATCTCTCTCCTGGGTCCCTAAGGATTTCTTTGCATGAAACATAGTCCTATCCTTAATTCTTTTGGAAAAATTTCTCATTAGGATCGCTCTTAAGTATACTTTTTAGGATGAAACCTATCTATCTAATAAAAGATGTGAAGCTTCCCAAAGTACAAATATCAGATGCAATGTATTATAGAGGTTAGCCTGCTCCAGCTTCCCAGATAAATCAGTTCAGGTTTTTCTCCACCAGCTTCTTTCTGAATCTGATTTTTCTTCCTAAAACGATCTTTTCCCAATCAGCCTAAATCAGACTCTGTCTGAAATCTCCTGGCTACTGAGGAAGCACAGTCCTTTCTCTGATTATCTAAACTCCATGCCCTACCTGGTTTGGCTCAGTGGGTAGAGTGTCAGCCTGTGGACTGAAGGGTCCAAGGTTCGATTCAGTCCAGGGCACGTACCTTGGTTACAGGTTCCCTGATTGAGGTATATGCAGGCGGCAACCAATTGATGTATCTCTCTCACATCGATGTTTCTCTCTGTCTCTCCCTCTCCCTTCCACTCTCTAAAAATCAATGGAAAAATATCCTCAACTGAGAATTAACAACAAAAAATAAAAAAAATAAACTCCAACCCTACTTAAAGTAAGCCCCAGTGGCAGGTTCTCTAGATTCTCACCACTTTTTCTAGATTATTCTGCTAGGCCACTGTTCATAAACCTTACATAAAACATGCTTCCTTAGTTTCCACCTTTCTCCCTCAATGTTTAGCTGGATTTGGGTTGTTCTTCCTTTTGCCTAAACACATGACCCATGTTTCTTAAGCTTCTGACTTCAGTCAGAATACTTATCTGGATCCACTTACAAAGCATTGAGATATAAGGAAGGAAAAAATATAAGCAAATTTACAACATAGAATTTGGTTCACACATTACATCCTGGTAAAGTATAAGAGCACGCTATTATCTAACCCCATTCTGAAATCGCACATATTTTCTCACTAAATGGGAAATCTACCTGATAAATGAACCTCACAGAGAAGAATCTTGGCTGATACGAAATGAAGCTACTTTTTAAAGAAACCTTTATAAGTTAGCAATAATAATGAAAAACATACAAAAGCTTAAAATAAATCTCTCAACATAAAACCTGGATTCAAATGGAATATAGTCAAAGGCCTTTTAAATTTCCTATGGCAACCCAAGATCAAATCATGATGGTTTTTGTTGTTGAGAGAGAAAGAGAGAAAGAGAGAGAGAGAGAGAGAGAGAGAGAGAGAGAGAGAGAGAGAGAGAGAGAGAGAGAGAGAGAGAGAAACATCCATCAGTTGCCTCCTATATGCGACAGGGATAGAACCCAAAACCTAGGTACGGTCCCTGACCGGGAATTGACCCGCAACCTTTTTGGTATATGGGAGGATGCTTCAATCAACTGAGCCACCCAGCCAGGCCTCAAATTGTGTCTTAGAAACTGCACTCCAGTCATGAGATTCACAAGAGATACTAAGTTCCAACATGGCTTTTACTCCCTCTGTAAACAAAGTAAAGTAAAATTAAATTAATTTTAATTGTGCTAATAATGGAATTTGTTATAATGTAACCTGGCTTAAAGTACTATGTATTTCTGGCCTATCTGTGCAGGGTAAAGAAAATTATAGAGGGCATGTATTATTTCTTTTTAAAAAAAAGATGTTTTTATTGATTTTAGAAAGGGAGAGAGAGAGAAACGACGATTGGCTGCCTCCTGTACGCCCCCTACTGCGGACTGAGCCCACAACCCAGGCATGTTCCTGACCAGGAATCGAACCAGTGACCTTTGGTGCATAGGATGACGCCCAACCAACTGAGTCATACCAGCCAGGGCTCATGTATTTACTTCGTTATAAGAAAAAACTATTTTAAGGCTTTAGCATCTTGTTCTTACGCAAATAAATCCCTACCAAATAAATACATATTTTTTTAAAAAAGACATGTACAACAATTATCTAAAAAGCATTTCTTTAGACACCGAAAGACACAGAATGTCAGAGACACAGGATGGGACAACTCAGAAGTAGTAGTCACTACCACAGGATGGAAAAGCCTAGAATAAAAGGCTCATTCTCAGGTAAGAAACAACAGATTTGGAAATGTGAGTGTCAATCCTATTTCTAATGATACTCTAGTAGATAAAAGAGTTTAAAAATTGTAGATTTAAAGTTCTAATGAATCATTCTCAACCGCTTCTGACGAATCACTTTGAAGCAAATACAGTTCTGTAGCAAATGTTTTACTCACAGGATTTCCACCCAAATTCCCAAAACTCTCAAGGAGCTCTTTGCAGGCCCCCCTCTGACTGTGGTCCATGTGCTATATAATGGCCCATGTGGGGATTCCCATTGCACCCCAGGTCTGGTGACCCTCTGATATAGCTAGCACCATAGTTCTTTTCAGAACAAGGCTTTTCAGAATAAGGCTTCTCATATGGTAGTAGCTTTTAGCATGGGTGGCTTGACAAAATCTACACTAATAAAAGACAAATATGCTAATTGACCATACCTTTGCTATGCCCTAAGCCATGCCCACCAACCAATCAGAGCGACTATATGCAAATTAACCCAACCAAGATGGTGGCCGGCAGCCATGGAGCTAGAGCAAGCAGGAGGCTTGGTTGCCTGGGCAATGGAGGAAGCCAAGCTTCCCGCCTGCCCTGAGCCGCTGTGGCCTCCACTCATGGCAACAAAGTTTCAATTATAGAAGACAAATAAATCCCAGATACGTGCTTCCAGCCAGCCTCCACTGGGAACTTGGGTGGCTGGGGGTTGTGGCCAGCCTGCAAACAGCCATCAGCCCCTCACCCAAGCCCTGCCAGGCACCCCAGGGGGGACCCCCATCCTGAAGGGGCTGTGGCCAGCCTGCAAACAGCCATCAGCCCCTCACCCAGGCTGGCCAGGCACTCCTATATAATAAAAGGGTAATATGCAAATTGACCCTAACAGCAGAACGACTGGGAATGACTGGTCACTATGACACACACTGACCACCAGGGGGCAGGTGCTCAATGCAGGAGCTTCCCCCTGGTGGTCAGTACGCTCCCACGGGGGAGCTCTGCTCAGCCACAGGCCAGGCTGCCAGCTGCCAGTACAGCGGTGGTGGTAGGAGCCTCTTCCACCTCCTCAGCAGTGCTAAGGACGTCAGACTGCAGCTTAGGCCTGCTCCCCACTGGCAAGTGGACATCCCCAAGGGCTCCCGGGCTGCCAGAGGGATGTCTGACTGCCAGCTTAGGCCCAATCCCCACAGGGAGCAGGCCTAAGCCAGCAGGTGGTCATCTCCCGAGGGGTCCCAGACTGCGAGAGGGCACAGGCCAGACTGAGGGACCCTCCTGAGTGCACAAATTTTTTGTGCACAGGGCCTCTAGTAGGTAATAATAATAATGAAGCATTATATATTCAGTAATACTTTTTGTTTATATTCTATTCATAATATATGCCCCTGCACACATTTTTAAAACAGTTGTGCATGTGTCTGTGAAGCACTCTTTACTATGGCTAGAGATGATACTTGCTGGACATGTGCTTCTGCAGACCCAGTACAATCACTCCTGCAGGCCCCTGTGGGAACCATGGGTCAGGCCTGTTGGAGTACCTAAGCCTCTCCTACTTTCTCACACTGAGGAGGGCCCACTGCTCAAATGCAAGTGCCCCTGAAAATAATAACACCTTAATTTATCATCAGTCATTTTCACCTTCGTGAAAACTGGCTTATAACAAGCTTTCCCATTAAACAGCTAGCTAAATGTAGTTTTTGTTAGCAGGAGGCTTTAAGGAGATCAAAGGCAGAGTTTACCAACTTTATTATTTTCCTGAGAGACAGACCCAGACAGCCACTCATGAGGGAGGGCTTAGATCCACCACCACCCCCATTCCATCTAACACCTTCTGATCCCAAGCTTTGTTATTCCTTACTGTGGTGATAATTACTCCAATTTAGTTCTTTTAATGTAACTATTTTGTTCCCTCTCTCTACTTAAGTTTTATCTAGATAGATAGATTTTTCAGCCTGTGCCCCACAAAAATTGTTAAATTATGCAATACCTATTTAGTCAGGGGCACTGACCTCTTTTCCCCTTAGATTGCCAAACAAAAAAAAATGGCAATAACCAACACAACAATAGCTGTCCAATGTGAATGAATCAAAACTATACCTATTTTTCTGTCAGACTGGCAAAAGATATATTTTTTGGTGTGCTGCAGAGTTTTATTAATTAGTTTATGTGTGCCATGAGATGAAAAAGGTTGAAAATCACTGGGATAGAGCAACAGCAGTGCTTTTCAATTATTTTTCATTATTGCTCCCATGCATCTTACCTTTTTAGACATTTTTCCTAATTACCACTCCATGAAATTTTAACGCCACAAATACAACTTGTATCTACTTATGTATTGTGTATATACTGTGCTTTAATACATAAAAAGAATAAGATATTTGGGCCATCTCCAACTTCTACCCCCCAGGGGACAAAACTGCTGAGAACCCATGACTTAGGAGAACTGGGAGCAGGGGTGGTCGTGTGGCTCTGGGTCCTGGTAGGTGTCACACAACTAGAGAAATAGTCAAGTCAGCTTCTGGCTGATACCCCCAAATGCACGCATGCAATTTTTTTTTAACAGGAAGGTTACAAAGCATCCCTACTATTCCAGCTAAGTAAGCAGAATGGCCAAGCCTGTCAACTAACTTAGTAATCTGTGATCAATTTACCTAGCAGCTTTCAAATCTCCAGTACAAATCACTGGATTGTTAAAGGAAAATATTTGCGGTACATTAATGACATAAATCTAAGAGGTTTTTGCTATGCTACCTCAGTGAAAACAGATGGTACAGGAGGCTGACAAAAAGCACATCTCACAAGTTGTCTGTAACCTACCCTTCCTGAGACTTCAATGCTATTGACCCCCCAGACTACGCAGCCCCATGACCATCTCGATTCTCATTACCGTTTTTCTCCTCCAGCTCGCCACTAACCTGACTGACAACCAAACCAAGAAAGTGAATGATAAAAGTCTGGGAAGTTTCAAGTTTACCAAAAATGAAGTTTCAGGATTATCTGTTGCATCTGCTGCTCCAATTCTAGTTACCACTGAGAAATGAAGCATTGATACTAATACAATTGAAACACCAAACAGAACTGTTGCGTCCTTTTTAAAGTTGTGTACTTACATTCTACGCAAAAGCCACAGTCCTGAAATTAAACATACAGTTTCACAAACAGGGTTTTACAGAGACTTACATTATCGGGCATAGCAGTCAGTGGTACTAAAATTATCACTCTCAGATCTCTTCCTTGTAAGCAAAAGTAATTAATATTTTTGAAACCTTAGTCATTTTAATATACATTAAGAGATAAAACAATTCCTTTAATATACTTACAAGATATCTAAAAAGTCCTCCACAGGAGAAAATACTCACTCTGGTCAACCTAGGTCAGAGCATCACAAACCCACACAGCTGAAGCTTTTAATTCTTGGACAAGGAATATTTTCAGAGTATACTTAGCTTCTCTCTTTTGGTTTGGAACATTCTGCAGACCATGATTTAAGAAGCTGGATAAACATGAGGTCTGGTATCTGAAAGTTACAGCTCCCAATGGAAGGGTGTTCATATTGGGCTCCCTAGGCTAGAGTGGATATTATTATACAGATTGAATACATGTGAGAAAGACTCATCACACACAAAAAAAATGAATTCTGAAGTCTATAAAATTCCCAACCTCTGTTCAGGAAGAGTCTACTAAGTCCACCACACTTAATATTTCATACCAGTCAGACCTTATTTGCAGCTCAAGGTTTCAGAAGCATAAGCTACACTGGTTTTTGTTGGTTGGTTGATTGGTTGGTCCTTGGCCTCGCTGGTCTTCCTAAAATGTTTTACTTTTGTCATTCTGGCCAAAAGTGTAGCACATCTTATCAGGCAAAGGAAGGAAAATACTTTTGTAACATCTCATTTCATTCCATTAGTCAAGATTTTACCAACAAAGAGGAAATATTTTTTTTTAATTTTTTTTTTTTTTATTGCTTAAAGTATTACAAGGGGTATTACATATGTGTCCATTTTATCCCCCCGCCCTAGACAGTCCCCTAGCCTCCCCTATCCCCCAATGTCTTATGTCCACTGGTTATCCTTATATGCATGCATACAAGTCCTTTAGTTGATCTCTTACCCCTCTACCTCCTGCCCCCCAACCCTCCCCGACCTTCCTGCTGCAGTTTGACAATCTGTTTGAGGCAGCTCTGCCTCTGTATCTATTATTGTTCAAAAGTTTATAATGGTCTCTATTATCCATGAATGAGTGAGATCATGTGGTATTTTTCCTTCATTGACTGGCTTATTTCACTTAGCATAATGCTCAACAAAGAGGAAATATTGTTATATGCCAAATACCTCTGGCAAAGATATGACTGGTAATACTATCCAGAGGGTGAAAGCAACACTCTACTGTCAAAGTTAAGGTTTCAGCACTGCTTCTGTCACTTACTGAATAACCCTGGACAAGTTATCTCATCTTTCAAAGTTTCAACAGCCTTATCTATAAAGTCAGGATAATAGCCCATGTAATCACGGGGATACTTTTAGGATTAGTCAATAGAACACATAGAATGTTCACGATATAGCTCGGCACATAGTAAGTGTTCAATAAATGTCAGCTCCATTTTCAGAAAACCCATTTGGGTCGGAATTACCCAAGTAATTGCCTCAGCACTAAGCTTCAATTTGGCCTAGGAAACCTGGTCACTAGTGAGCTCTATTTTAATCTTTGATTTCCACTGTTTCTATGGCATCAGGGTGCAAATTCATCAGAACTTGTTATTTATCCAGCATGGCAGGTACACAGGGTACTGTGGGGTAGGAAAAATGCAAACATCTGCTATAAAAATCCTTGGATTAAAGATTACTTACAAGTGAAAATTTTCTGTTATCTACTAGTTACTCCCCCCACTATTCTCGTAATTGTGGCATTAATTTGAACATGATTGAGAATACTCAACTTAAAAAAAACTCCTCGGGACAGCTCCCTGGAGGCTTGGTGGGGTGTACATAATGTCCATCAGACAACGGTACTGAAATGCTGCTGGCTACCACGAATCCTCCTCAAACCCCCCTTTTTAGTCATCTATTCTGCAGGATAAGCAAAAGCTTGTATGCCAAAGTTTTACTAGTAGGCTGACAATAACATACTAGGATAGTAAACATCCTAGGTTTAAAAAAAAAGCACTCAATGACGACAATGACAGAAATGACCATTTTGTGAGCAACTACTTCCACAAACTATACTAATCATAGCTGATATGCTACCTTTACTTCACATGAGGACCCTAGGTTCTAGCCCCACTTGACAGATCAACAAAGGCTTGGAGAAATTTAAATTAAAAAAAAAAAAAAGAAACAAAACAAAAAACAACAACAGGGAAGTGAATGCAAAGCTCGTCTTCTTTCTATTACATCATGTTGCTTCAAGTAGTGGCAGCAGAAAATGCTATTAATCCGCAGAGTTCAGAGCACCACCGTCTCCTACGTATTCACCGGTGAGGTTCTGTCAGACAGCATCGACAAGGTGCATGAATAAAGTGAGGCCCTTCCCTGCTCTCCACTAGATCTCAGAAAAGATAAATGAAGACATCTTCAAATATGAGAAAAATATGAGAAAGAACTTATTTATCAAGTAATACATACTAAGTCCTCAAAAAGAGATGAAACCAGAAAACCAACTTAGTTTAAATTCAATTCATTAATAATATATGACCATCTCATTTGCTTTTTAGACTTGCCCTTATAGGACTCATCCTTGAAGTTGAGCTTTTCCTTGCACACCATAGCCAAACCATCTGCAAATTCTGCCAATCTTACTTCCAAAATATATCCTCGATCCCTTCCCCCTCCCCCATTTCTCTCTTCTCTATTATTATCCTGACTCACTCCACCATAACCCCTGGAATGGATCGCCCCAAAAACCTAACTGGCCTCCCTGGGCAGGCACCTCTGGCCTCCAGCATCATTTCTTTATGACACAAATACTATCATTTTCTATGTGCCAAGGAAAAGGGTTGGGAAACACTGTATTAAAGAAAAGCATACCTTTTAGGTCAATCACTCTAAATTCTTATAAAAAGTGAAGAAAAAGTACTGTGTGTTGTGTTTGTTTTTTTTTAAGAAAGAGAAGTAAAAGGACACTATGTGAACTCCAAACACTCGAGTCTTGGTTCTCTGAAAAATTCAACTTCGAGATATAATTAAACATTTATGTTTATGATTAACAAACACATTTGAGAAACAAAAGAAAATTATCAACTCTGAGAGTGTAACGTAAGGAAAATTATTTTTAACTAGAGGCCCGATGCACAAAATTCATGTAAGGGAATTGGTCCTCACAGCCGCGGCAGCTTGCCTCGACCTCACAGCCCTAGCTTCACCTGGAAGGTCGTCCAGAAGGTCATTCTGCTGTCCAGTCTAATTAGCATATTATGCTTTTATTATTATAGACAGATAAATTGTCACAGCTAGAACTAGATACTGAATCAAGTTCTCAAGTTAAATGGGCAGGGGGACAAAATCATGAAGCTTCATTTTGTTTTTTCTTTAGACTGTCAGTAGTACAAATGATTGGTACAAATAAAACCCCAATACTAAAAGATAACAAGATCCTATTAACAGGTTACAAACATGCAGCCCCATAATGAGAAACAAATTAAAAGACAAGAAACATCTCAGTGATGGAAATGTCCTGAACCACTTAAGAAGCTTTCATTTGATTGTCGTTTTCTTTGATATCAGGGATCGAGAGGCTAGGCATGAAGCTCATGATGAGCTTGGCATGTCTTCTGCACAGCCAGCCAACTTCTATGTCCTCTACACAGTGCACATTCAGCTCTGCAAATGTGGTGCTGGCCACCAACCACAGAAACCCAGTATCAACTCAAAATTCAGACCCCAAAACTCGGGCCTTACCATCTGTTCAAGAAGAAGTTTAAAGCCACCTTGTATTGCTGGATGTCAGGCAGTGGACACTGAGCCTCCCTGTGACTCAGTTTCCACATGAATGAAGTGCTTGACTAAATGGTCTAGGCCAGTGGTCGGCAAACTCATTCGTCAACAGAGCCAAATATCAACAGCACAACGATTGAAATTTCTTTTGAGAGCCAAATTTTTTAAACTTAAACTATATAGGTAGGTACACTGTTATTAACTTAGTTAGGGCACTCCTAAGGCTTAGGAAGAGCAACACTCAAGGGGCCAAAGAGCCGCATGTGGCTCGCGAGCCAGTTTGCCGACCACGGGTCTAGGGTATGAAAAATAATTATCCCTCCCAAACTATATTTACCCCAACTTTTCAAATTCTGATACATACTTTTAATTTTTTATTTGCATTATTACCCACACAGGTTATAAATGGCTAATAAAATGTACCTATCTAGAGCAACAGAAGCATACTTAAGCACACATTAATGTAATCTTAAAAGGGTTCGACAACTGACTTCTACAAAATTATTTAAAAAAATAACAAGCCTCTGCATTTGAGGCCTATCATGCTTCAATACTCGAGTCTCTCTTAGGTACAAAAACAGTTTGCACTACGTTATGTGGTAAAATCAATAGAAGTAAGCAAAGTCAGTGATCTAATATGTACCCATGTTCCAGAATGTGACCATCTGTGTGGGAGTAAAGAGAACAGAGAAGATGTACAAACTAACACTGCTTGTTCTTCCAGCAAGGCAACCGTAAAATCTGCCATCTAAACCCAGGCGCTCTGGAGAGTACCACAGGGAGCTGTGGCTAATGATGCCAAGACAAGAAATGGAAACCAGCCTATCTCAGGGAAAGCAGACATATGGCAATTCCATGTCTAATTGATATTTTGAACAACTCCAGTGGGGTAGAGGGAGTCAATGAGGGAAAAAGGGGACATCTGTAATACTTTCAACAATAAAGATCAATTAAAAAAATAAAGTGAAATGCTAATAAAGGAAGCAATGGTGCCTGATACAAACATTCGATGTAGCTCACACTGCAGTGGGGAAAGACCTGGGCTGAGATGTATTGCTTTCAACTGTATTCACTGAATGACACATCACCTCTCTAGGCCTCCATTTCCTTACCTGTGATATGAAGTTACTATATGTAGTGACTTCTTGAGGTACCTTCCAACTTGAAAATGTTTGTATCCTAACATCCTTTCTCAGGTTCTAAAGGTCTCCAAAGAGACCTCAGAACATCTGTTCCTCTGATTTAAAAACAAAGGAGTACAAAGTGAGAAGGCAGAAAAAAAGCTCTGATTTTAACTTCCAAGGTAACTATAATAAATTATAAACTTGATCAACTGATTAAAAATACAAAATCCCAATAGTATGATATATCAATTATATGTCATTTCTATTTCATTCTCCTAAACAAAATCAAAAGAATTCTGGTTTTGGCCTTTAACAAAAAACTAGAGAAAGCTCTTAACTGGCTGCTCATATTTGGGGGTCTGGGAGTGTTGATACAAAATAATTATTGATTTTATGTCTAACATCTAGAAGGAACTGGTAGTTCCTTCAAGGTCTCATACTTACTCTTCTCAAAGCATTCTGAAAAACACACTCTTGCCTATTCCTATTTTTTTTTCATTGAAGAATTGAATTCTGAACCAGTCAAGATTATATCTGTTTCATGAATCAAGCCAAATATATGCAGAAGCATATGGAACAAGAATTCCTATGTAGTTTACAAAATGTCTGAAAACTAAAAAGGGAAAACATAGTTTAAAAAAACTCAACTTTAAGCAAGTATTACCATGTCATGCCAATCAAAACTCTGAACATCACACCTTGGGTGATGATCAGACATGGCTACGAGCTACAACAAGAAGGTATCATTTAGTAAGAGTGGACCCTGGAAGGAACTACTAAATTCTACAAAGCACTTTAGGTACACAAGTAATTACCCACTGAAATTTTAAAACTCTTTTCTGATACAGAAAATTGAAGGGTTCAGAGTAATTGTACAGAGGATCTTTTACATCATAGGAGTTCATGAACTTGGTAAAACAAAAATATTTGCCACCTAGGATTGACTCAGAGCAGAAAAACCAAGAATTATAAAACAATAACAAAAAGCTATTGTAAAGATAATCAGATTACCCAACATAAGGCACAATGAAAAAAAAACAACCCAAAGGTGCCAACATGAACTGCCTAAGAGTAAAAGAAAACCTTATTAACAGCAAATAACCTTTGGCAATGAGCTCTGGAGAAAAGATAAAACTATTTGTACTTTCACCTTGTTCTTGGAGGACCACTTCTGCAAGTATAAATTCACTAATAAAAACATGCTAACTGATGAGGATGAGGCACATTGTAAACTGTCACTTATGATGAAATGCAAAGGCTGGGTCACATCCTCTGGGGTGAAATCATTCTATAAAGTAAAAACATTAGCAAATAAAGCACAACTGATTTAAAAGAAATAAGACAATAGGGAAGAAAATAGAATACTTCCCTCATGATGCTATAATATATTAAATTTTAATATATATAATAGACTTTATAGAATGCATTAAAACAGGGTTTAATTAATCAATCTATGTGACTAAATGTAACATCTAATATAAGTGAAAGGAAAAAAATAATATTTAATAACTAAACTTACTACAACCCAGAAACAATACCCAATTTACCACTTCAGAAAATAACATTTTGATGACTTTGGTTTTCCAACATTCAGCACATTCTTTAAATATTTTCACAGTAATATTCCTCTTTATTTTGATGTTGTAATGTATTTTTTAATGAAGTTTTTATTTTAAAATAAAATAAAAATACATAAAAGTGGCAGATACTCCAGAAAGTCCTCATATGCCCTGCACCCAGTTTCTTCCATTGTTAACATCCCACACCAGACTAATGTCTGACACATTAGTCACAACCAATGAAGCAACAGTAAGACATTATTATCAACAAAATGCCACCCTTTATTTGTGCTTCTTCAGTCTACTTAAAGCCTTCTGCTGTGCCAGGACCTACCCAGGACACATTACATTTGGTCGTGGTATGCCTTAGGCTCCTCTAGACTGTGACAATTTCCCAGACACGCCTTGTTTTTGATCACCCTGACAGTTTTGAGAAGTGCTAGTCAGGTATTTTGTAGAATGACCCTCATTGGAGTTTGATGTTTTTCTCACAATTTATCTGAAATTACTGAGTTTGGAGGAGGAAGACCACAGCGGGAAAGTGTCATTCCCATCACAGTTCAGGACAAAATGCATCAACATGGCACTGCTGTTGATGTTATCTCCTGGCTAAGGAAAAGGCTGTGGTACTTTTGTTTTCTTTTTCTTTCCTTTCCCTTTCCTTCCATTTCCTTATGCCTTCCCCCTCTTATCTCTGTCTCTCTTACTTTTTCTAGCACTTCCTTGCTTCCAGCCCCAGCCATGGAATTAGCCTTTCTCCAAGAAGCACTGGCTCCGTATATTGGAGAAAGCTGTCAGAGACCAAGATTAGTGCCCCAGGTGTGCCTAGTACAGCTGTGAGCCCTTGCTGCTTGGCCCTGGCAGCTGACAGCATAAGGATCTACATGTGTGCACACTAGCTAACTTATACACACAGATCTATCAATATTCCCATACGTATCCATCTGAATCTCTATTAAGCTGAATATCAGTTCATATGAAGGTCTCCAATCTAGTACCACCCGGACAGTGTTCATCTTACTTGTCTGTAATCTCCCACTGCAACAGTGAGAAACCTGATTCTTATCTGCCAGACTGGACACATAACTAACATGACAGACACAATGATGCTTAACTACAGATGTGTAGGAATAGAGAAAAGTCATCTGAAATAAGTCAGTGAGAAACTTCAGCAAATATATATTAGAGAAATATTTAAGGTTCACACATCAGTACAAATCAAATAGTATAGATAGATACACTTCAAAACACTACTTCCTAATTCTTAAGCATAAGGAAATAATTCTGTGTAAAAAAAAAACACACACACACATTTAAAAATAATTACCCTTAGATGTGCCAAATAAAAGTCTGGCTTTCTTTTCCTTTTTCTTTTTAAATCCTCACCTGAGGATATGTTTTGGGTTTTTAAAATTAATTTTAGAGAGAGAGGAAGCGAGGGAGAGAGAGAAACATCAATCGGTTGCCTCCCGAATGCCATGAACCCCGACCAGGGATGAACTCGCAAACAAGTTATGTGCCCTGACCAGGAATCAAACCTGCAACCTCCTGGTGTACAGGACAACTCTCCAACCAACCCAGCCACCCAGCAAGGGCAGAGCTGGCCTTTAAAAAATTATGTCCAAGGAGAGTTAAAAGTCACCCATTAATAAGGTACTTAAGATTTTCCAAAGAAAAAAACCCCCAAAACAAACAAACAAAACCAGCAGGCCTATGGGCCATACCCAACTGAGTAACTCCACAAGTGGGAGAGGATGTCCACATACACAAAGCCCATTAGTAGTGCTCTTATCTCTGTGAAGGAGAAACAAAGCAGGATAATAAAATGCATTACTGACCACCAAAGAACTATGGGTAGTTCTATGCTTGTGATTTTCTGCCCAAGGCCAAGATATTTTCATTTAGTGTGTCGATAAACTTCAGTTTGATGATGAATTATTTCACACTTCAGTTTGTCGTCACACAAGACTTAAAACTAAATTGTTTCTCATCAACAAGCACATTTCCTTCCATCAGTTTTTGGAGCCATTTGCCTCAGAGCTTCTGGATAATCTGTCCTTTTCTCCTCTTCCCCATACCCAACATTTGCTCAGCTATCACTTTGTCATCAGCCCTAAACATAGCTTTTCCCTTCCTGGCAGGCACGGAGGTGCAATGAGCTCTGGAATGCCTGCATACATTCCTGCATTCTCTTGGGCTAGAGATACAGGCAAAAGCCTACAGCAACCCATTTGAATTAATAAAGCATATGCAAAACCAAACCATTTCCCCATCTTCAGCTGGAATCACTGCCATGGCAGATCCTTTGGGTGCCCTGCTCCTATCCCCAGTGTAGCAGGCCTGACTTCCAACTGTCGGTGCCTTTGTCTGAGCTGTCCTCTGGCTGCTAGTCAGCTCTGTTGCCAGCACGGGAGGCTAGAAGCAGCAGAGGGCAGCTCCAACCAAATAACTGACTCTTTTGCCCCTTGACCCTTGAGAGGGGTAATTCAGGTGTGTTTTAAACCCGCTCCCAGTTCCCAAGAGAATTAAACTCCAGTTGCTCACAGTGACATCTGGTTTAAAAACATGGCCCCCTTAAATGCTATCTTCCTTTCCCTGTCTCACATCCCCACACCCTATAGTGGTTCCCTCACCTTCCAAATTAAACATGTCCACTCAATCCTTGTCTCAGGTCTGCTTCTAAGGAAACCAAACCATTTTAAGAACTCTATATTTCTACTCTTTCAAGAATGTTAAGATAAGAGCAAGGCAGGTTGGCCATAGCATCATTATCAGTCAGGAGAACAAACTTGGGCTCTGAGGTTCAAAACAGAACTAGACCTGGGTTCAAATCCTTGTATTGACGTATACTATGCAACTTATTCAACTCCTTTGACCTTTTATTTCTACCTTTCTAAAGTGGGGTTTGCCTGTGGACTGAATGACATAATACATGTAGCACTCTTAGCAGTCCAATAGCGTTTGTAGAAAACACACACCACCCTGTCTACAATAGAAGACTTCACCATCCACTGTTTCATCAATATAACTACTAATCCAGGACACTCCTGTCAGGAAGATAACTTAAGACAAAAGCTTCCTGAAAGATCCATCAGCTTCTCAAGAGAAAGCATCAAAGGACATACCCACAGGACCTTTTGAACCCCTCATCTCAAAATCCTCATCTTGCTGTATCCACCAATTCTGAACTACTAGGCTTACCCAATCCTAACCAAGACTTGCTCTAAAAGACCTGCCTGAAACCAAACTTCAAAACTGCAACACATCTCAACTTTGCCCTTTGGCTCTCAGAGGCTACTCTGATGATAAAGATAGTGTTTCCCATTCTTTCAGTAATCGAGAAATTCAGCGTGGTCTTAGTAGGCTGGTAGTACCAGTACCTCAATATTCCTTAGATCAGTGGTTCTCAACTTCCTAATGCTGCGACCCTTTAATACAGTTCCTCATGTTGTGGTGACCCCCAACCATAAAATTATTTTCGTTGCTACTTCATAACTGTAATTTTGCTACTGTTATGAATCGTAATGTAAATATCTGATATGCAGGATGTATTTTCATTGTTACAAATTGAACATAATTAAAGCATAGTGATTAATCACAAAAACAATATGTAATTATATATGTGTTTTCCAATGGTCTTAGGTGACCCCTGTGAAAGGGTCATTTGACCCCCAAAGGGGTCGCGACCCACAGGTTGAGAACCGCTGCCTTAGATGAATGTAACAATGCCACTTTTTCTCTTAAGATTTCCCCATCATTCCTCAATTTGCTCACAACTTAGGAAAGGCTAAAATTTAACTACTTAAATTTTCCAACATATAGTAATAAGACTTCTTCACATGTTTCCGTTTTTTGCTCTCTTGCTCTTAAGAATTCTGGACAGAGAGTGCTTCCAAAAATACTAAAAGTGAAGAAAAGATTGTACCAAAATATATCAAACACATGACCAATGGTTAATTCGCCTTTCTGTCAAAGTGTCTGGTGTTCTGTGCCTGCCCCCATGTTGGACTTCCTACACAAAGTTGCTGCTACTAACTTAGCATCAGAGAAGAGGTGATTGTTTTTGCCAGGAATTGTGAAGAGTCAAAATGCATTCATTCACACCTTACCTGGCTCAGGTTCTTTTATGACCAACATGTGGCATCTGCAAGAAGGGTCACGGTTACCAAGCAGTGGAATTATCTATTCTTTGTGATTTCACTTCATGAGGCCATGTTCTCTAACACATCACAGCAGAGATAACTGTGTTGATCCTAAACTAATTGACTGAAATAAATGAGACCCATATTCACCACACCATGTACACTTCTGGCTACCACCTTTTGGTCAATAAATCATAAGTATAAATCTTTCTTTTAGAAAATCTCCTAGTATAAACAAATTCCTTTGATTATGGACAATGCCTCTCTAATATTTTTTAAAAATTTAATGTCAATTCTACAAAAAATGACTCATCATTCCCCAGATTCTCTCTCTCTCTCTCTCTCTCTCTCTCTCTCTCTCTCTCTCTCTCTCTATATATATATATATATATATATATATATATATATACATATATATATGTGTGTGTGTGTGTGTGTATGTGGTATATACTATGTATGGTAGAGAGTACATACTCACACACACGTTATACTCTTAACCAATTTTAGAGTTGGAAAAGATCTCAACAAAACCACTAAATGTAGTGCCCATCTCCCTGCCGTTGCATGCCTAAATATTATTAATAAGATGGACCAGATAAAGATAACTTCTCTCTGATATGCTGATTTGACTAAGAGCATTTGGTTCTGATGAGTCCCCTTTCACTTTGAATTCTCTTTCTGATTTCTACGTTAATTACTGTAATCAAGTGCGTACCTCTTTTGACTAGATTTTAGAATCTCTAAATAACACTGGCACTAACATGACTATACTTTGCGGCAGACTTCTGCTGGGTTGGCACCAACCAGTATTATAACCTACTTCAGGAACTTTTAACTAGGGGATAAAATTATGTTCAAAGTGAATCAGGGGCTTAATATTCAGATGCTGCATTTCAAAAATCTACTCATGGGTATCTTTCTTTCTTATAAATTCCTTGATTGTTTTCTAAGAAACTATGGAATTGTGGTCATTCATCCAATGATGAATACTACCTTGCTAGCATCAAATTTATGCCCTGCTGCACTGTCTGTGACTTCCATACACTGTAACTTTTTTGTTTCATTATTTTGTTGAAGACATTTTAAATGAAAAATTAATGTAATGCTAACAATACATGTAACTCAAATGAAATGAGGAGAGCCATGATGCACACACAGGCAAGTACATCACAACAACCCGCTGAGAGCAACTACTTGACACATGGACTATAGTTGAGATTATACCTGTCTTATTGATTATAAAACACATCACATCTCATATGTGACATGAGATGGAAAAGGTTGAAAATCGCTTTTCTAGAGCACTGTTAACAATTTTTAAATATTAAACAAATATAAAAAATTATCTAGGGAGAGCTTTACCACAGCAGTGGGTATATAAGTAGAACATTGGGGAAAATGTAAATATCCAACTACATTTGAAGAGTTTGGTCAATTACGGTACAGAAACACAACAGAACATTGCATCCATTGGGGGGAAAAAAGTATATATAAAGTGAGGTAGAAACATAAATAGTATTTATCATACAAAGTGAAACGCCAGAACATAAAATGGTGTGTACACACACACATTAACCTCTGTCCTCCTTTAAAAATTCTCTTTTACATGCATAACCCATGGACACAGACAATAGGGTGGTGAAAGCCGGGGGCAGGGGTGGAGGTTGGCTGTAAGGGGTCAATGGGAGAAAAAAAGGGGACATATGCAACATTTTCAACAATAAAAAAAAAAAAAAATTCAACCACTAAATGCATAAATAAGTGGAACAACAAATTCATCTTTTTAAAATAGCTTTTTTTTTATCCTCACCTGAGGATATTTTCCCATTGATTTTTAAAGAGAGTGGAAGAGAGAGGGAAAGACAGAGAGAAACATCGATGTGAGAGAAACACATCGATTGGTTACCTCCTGCACACCCCCCAACCAGGGCCCACGCCAGGGAAAAGCCTGCAACCAAGTTACATGCCCTTTGCCGAAATCGAACCTGGGACCCTTTGGTCCTCAGGGCGATGCTCTATCCAGTGAGCCAAACCGGCTAGGGCTAAAATAGCATTTAAGAAATCATTTGGAAAATGACTTACCTCCAAATCTCTCATTTTTAAAGTTTCCCCATTGATTCTACTTGCTCAATTTGTCCTCTTGGGAACAAATTCTTTTTTTGTTTCACTCTCTGTGCACTGTCTTTCTGGTCATCACTATTTTCTAGTGTAGTTATCTTTATCTCCTTCACTCATTGTCTTGACAAAAATTTCATTGCCTATCATACTCTCTTATCCAACTCCAGGAAAAAAAGGGTTATAAAGGCTACAAGGTAGAAAACAAAGCCTCCCTAGGGTTGCTGCACACACTCTCCCACGCACGACCACTGTCACTGTGAAAGTTACCACGCAGTAAAGGTGACTGAGGAACTGCATTATGCCTCAGAGTTATTTTCTAATTATGTGTGCTATCTTAGCATGCACAGGAAATAAGACATTTAAAATAACGACTATGAGTTTCTTACCTATTGAATGAATCTGATTCGGATGAAGAAAGAGCATCTTCTTGAATATCAGTACAGCTGGAAGAATCATCAGGTCCATCGGGCTCGCATATCCCTGGGGAGTCCAGCTTTGGCTGAGGGAAGTGGTTTATTACTGAGGGTATATCTGGTAATTTCATTTTATTATCTTCCTGTTCTAAAATGAAAAAAGGAAATAGTTAAGAGTACCTTAAAATCTACAACCTCTGCATAGTTATTATTTCCACAAACTTAATATTGTTATTTGTACTTAGTAAAATAGACGTTTATTTAACATTGATTCCAAAACTCTAGTGACAGCCAGAGAATCAGAATCTACACTACAATGGAGCCATCTAATTATATTGTCCACACCATGTATTACCAAATTAATTAATTTAAAAACAGAATTTGAACGAGGAGTGGGGAGAACCTTGTATTCTAATTCAGCTTCTATTTACAGTATTACTAAAGAATTCCAGCATATTTACAGACCAGAAAACACTGATAAACTTAAGAAGCATAACAAAAGAGGATTAAAGATTCAAGTAATAAAACAATCACAATATTTGTCACTGACTACTATGTGATAGGGAATCTATCTGGACATTTAACTAAATCTGTTACAATGAATCTAATATTCACCTTGGAAAAGAACAACTAATCAGACATATCCAATATTTTTGTTTGATCCAATGCCTTTGGGTTTGATCCAATGCCTTTGGATCAAACAAAAATATTTTGTCTCATTTCTCTGCACCCCTTGTCATAATCTCAATTTCTGAGGTCTCTTATTGCAGATAGAGACACAGGTTTGCAAAAATGTCACAAGAAGGTACACAAGTAACCAAATATCTACAAATGTGAGTGCAGAAAATAATACCAGTGAAGAATTCTCCAGTGCTCAGGACTCTCCCTCACAGCTTGTTTCAGAACTCCGCTGGGATTTCAATTGTGACCTTTTAGATTCAGGACCCGAGGCAGTACTACACTTTAAGTGCAAGCTGTGCATGCTAGCAGTATAGTGCCCCCTCTCATGAGTTTCACAGAGAGCAGAGTGTTCACACGTCACTCCTCCAGTGTGCTTTAGGGGCAAGTGGCCTTTCACAAAGGACACAAAAAGAACTGCCAAGGTTTTATTAAAAGGAGAAAAATTATGGAAAAAGAATAAGACAAATTCTTCCCAAAAAACCCTCACAACCTTTCAAAGTCCATACAGTCAGGATTTTTCCATAAATATATAAGTTTTTGTTATACTAGAGAACATCATATGTCACAAGAGTACAGTTTCTAAAACTAAGCTCCTGATGTTGCCTGACCTTCAATAAGTCTAATCATTACCCGCTAATGTTTATCTGGGAAAAGGAAGCAAGAAGCTAATGAGGACAACCCCTTGTAAAGAGATACCCAAGATCATGTTAAGAGGAATCAATCATCCAGTAACCCAGGCAATCCTGTCACTCAACTGGCCAGGAGAATGCAATCACATTGGCAAACCAGGGAACAGAATCCTATTCAACTTAAAATTCTTTTATTTTTGCACCTGTGTTACAATCTCCTCTTACTTCTTCCCCTATTTAATAATATTAGATAAATTCCCTCTTGAGGACAAACATCATACAACAATTTGTGGGCTTTGAAAGTCAGTTATCCTTCATGTCTGTCCATAGATGTCCAAAGAGGACTTCAAATTAGAGCCCCAAAATATGAGGCTCTGACATCCAACTTCCCCAAAGACACGCAACACAATACATGAAGGTTTTACTTGACAGAACACACATCTTTTTAAACTTATACTGGCGCGGCAATGAGCAAGTTTATTCTAAAGAGCGAAAATTACACAGTACATGCAGTTGTGTGATGCCATACAAAGCGCAGCCTTTCAATCAGTCTGTGATTCTGTCTTCCTCTCTCTCTCACTCCCCACCTCGCTCAGACCTGCGCATTCATGCATAGCAACCTACCAGTAGCACTCATCTGTGAACCCCAGAGAGAGCAGTATTTATGTGCAATACACATACGGGTAGGGCAAAGTAGGTTTACAGTTGTTCGTATGAAGAATAACATAGTGAAGAAATAATACAAGAATAAATTTTTGCATACTTACTGTAAACCTACTTTTGCCCCACCCTGTATAATACATAACCCTTGAGTACAAGCAATCAATCATTTTCAAGAGATTCAACCAATAACAAAACTGTTCTCCAAATCTGAGATAATAAACCAGGTTTTCTCAGGAGCTCAAGTACTTTCTAAGACTATCCTTTAACAACCACATGAACAAATCCAAGTTGTTCACAAAGACCATGAGGTATATACTAGGCAGCAACCTATAAATGACACCAGAATTTAGGACAAATAAAATACTTACGAATAAATCTAACTAAGAAGGTAAAAGACTTGCATACTGAAAACACAAAACATTGTTGAAAGAAATTAAGAAGAGATACGTAAATGAAAGATTATCCTGCATTCATGATTGAAAGACAGCATTGTTAAGATGTCAAAACTAACTAAAGCAATCTCTAGATTCAATGCAAACCCTATAGCACTTTTTACAAACAGAAAAATCCATCCTAAAATTCACATGGAATCTCAAGGGACTCAGAATAACCTTGAAAAGAAAGAAGAAAACTGTAGGACTCATATCAATTTCAAAATTTGTTACAAAGCTACAATAATTGAAAAGTATACTACTGGCATAATGATAGACATATAGACCAATAGACTAGAGATTACAGAAATAAACCCTCACGTATATGATCAAATGATTTTCAACAAGGATGTCAAGAGTATTCAATGGGAAAAGGACAGTCTTTTGAACAAATGGTGCTCAGAAAACTGAATTATCTACATCTGAAAGAATGAGTTGAACCCTTACCTTACACCATACTTAGAAATTAACTCAAAATGGATCAAAACCTAAATGTAAAAGCTAAAACTATAAAACTCTTAGGAAAAAACATAAAGGAAAATCTTCATGACACGGATTTGACAACAGCTTCATGGATAGAAGACCAAAAGTATAGGCAGCAAAAAAATTTGATAAATTGAATTTCTTCAAAATCAAGTACCTAGATGCATCAAAATATACTTTTAAGAAAGCAAAAAGACTACCATGGGCCCTAGCTGGTTTGGCTCAGTGGATAGAGCGTTGGCCTGTGGACTCAAGGGTCCTGGGTTTGATTCCGGTCAAGGGCACATGCCTGGGTTGTGGGCTCGATCCCCAGTAGGGGGTGTGCAGGAAGCAGCCAATCAATGATTCTTTCTCATCACTGATGTTTCTATCTCTCTCTCCCTCTCTCTTCCTCTCTGATATCAATAAAAATATATTTTAAAAAAAGACTACCATGAAATGCTTTTGCAAATCACATATATAATAAAGCATTAATATCCAGTATAAAGAACTCCTAAAACTCAAGAACGAGAAAAAAAAACCCCACACCAAACAACCCAATTAAAAAAATGGGCAAAGAACTTTAACAGACAAAAGGCCAATAACCATATTTAGAGAGTGGAGGGAGGGAAGGTGGAGGGGAAAGAGAAAAACATCGATTTGAGAGAGACACTTTACTTGGTTGCCTCCCCCGACTCACCAGGACCAGAGCTAGGGATCGAATCTGCAACCCAGGTATGTGCCCTTGACCAGGAATCAAACCCAAGACCCGTCAGTGGACAGGCCAATGCTCTAACCACTGAGAACACCAGCCAGGGCAAAGGAAGCTTTTAGAAACTGTATCTCAGGACATCCTCCCAGTCATTTTTCCCAGAGTTATAAACCTAGTTGATATTCAACAACTGCTTTAAGTTTAAAAATACCTTTTCCCATTTCAAATATCTATTAAGTACAAAGTAAATTTCTTTGTTTTAATTTTCTTTTTATATTAAAATGAATAGTGAAACTCAACATAATTTCTGTTTTTAATTAAAGTCTTTTACCCAGGCATACAGGGAACAGCATTTTTGTAGATTCATCTTCTTTTTGACATTTCAACAGTTTTCTTGTATCCTTTTTTGACATTTCAACAGTTTTCTTGTATCCTTTTTTGGCCTGATCCACCAGAAGCTGAAATTCATTCTGATGTTTTTTACCTGAAATTAAAAAAGATTTTCTCAGTAAAGCTAAGACTATAAAAGTTATACATCTATAACCATCAAGAAGTGTGCATGCTCACTCAAGAACGGCACCCTTAGGAATCACTTGCAATAAATGAAAAAGCTGGCAAGCACAAGGATACAAGGTGCTGGGAGATTGTAGAAGCCATTCCTATCTATTTCCTCCCCTCTTCAGCAACAAACATGGAAACATGGTGGTCCTAGTTCGTTACTGTAGGTTTCTTCCCAAACCCCATACTCCAGAAAGGGTTCTGATAGAACATGAAAGATACTGCTTTCTTTTCTGTTGCTGTTCATCCTCACTGGAGGATATTTCCCCCTTTGATTTTTAAAGAGTGCATTGGAGGAAGGAAGCGGGGAGTAGAAACATTGATTGGTTGCGTCCCACACTAGCCCTGACTGGGGTCAGTGATCAAACCTGCAACCCAGGTACATGCCCTTGTCCAAGAAATAAATCTATGACCCTTAGGTCCATGGGTTGATGCTCTAACACTGACACACACCGGCCAAGACATGCTACCTTAAATATATCCAAAAGACACCTTCTAATTTCTAAGACACCATTCTAATTTCAAAGACACAAAAGAATACTAAGATGAATATTAATTAAACATAAAACCAGAAGCCTCTAGGAAAGTTAGGTTATAAAAACAAAAAATATCCATTTCAAGTCCCTTCTTTTCCCCTTTACACTACTTGCGAATTTCCTATCAGAAACCCTTTAGCAATCTAAGCCATTTCCTCCATCAATCCACATTGTAACACCTCTGAAAATAATTTAAGCCTGACCTCTAGGTCACCATTTGTAATATGCATTAACTTACTCAATAAAGAGTAGCCAGTCATTGTTAGAGCATGACTTGAGGACGTCTATTTGTGACCTGAACCGTGGCTCAAATAGCTGAGGTTGCACTTTACTTATCTAGCATCTGTAAACACTAAAGCCATGATTCAAAATGTCATAAATCCTGAAAAAATGCATTTTAGAAATAATCATACTGCAAATGATTCTTTTAAAACAAAGTTTTGAAAGTGTTTCATACAGTAACCTATATTTCCCCTAAAGCACAATACTAAGAATACCTGGGTGCAGGGGAAACTATGCATTTTCTAGGGCTACCCTTCCCAGATTCCAGCCATTCACTGCCTTTGAGCTATGCTACAGTTCTGTAAATGTAGGTAAATGATGACATTGGAAAATTCTTGTCTACACAAGCAAAATCCTGGTTGAGGAAGGCTCAAATGACTTCCCTCCCACACTGTTGAAGGAGCCAGGTTTACCTCCATTTGCACATTTATTTTAATACTAGTGGCCCAGTGCACGAAATTCATGCACATTAAAAGGGAATTAATTAGAGGAAATATTTTAATATTGCTATTTGCCCTTTCTCTATAATAGAAGTGTCAGATGAAAGAAAATTAGTAAAATGTATATGAAAATCTTCCTCCTGTCAGAGTCTGGGGCATGCCATGGAACCCAGAGTCAAGTCCCTGCCCACTCGCATGCACCTTGAAATCATGCGAGACCCAGACCTGGCCAGCCCCACCCCCATTAGGTGAGATCCAGACCCAGCCAGCCCCACCCCCAACAAGCCCAGGCGGGCAGGGGGGCACAGCCTGAGAGCCCCCCTCAAACCCTGCTGGGTGGGGGCACAACCTCAGGTCCCCTGTCAAGCCCTGCTGGGTGGGGGGGTGCAGCCTCAGGACCCCCGGCCCATTGCCGGGTGCAGGGCATGGCCTGAGGTCCCCCTTCAAGCCCCGCAGGGTGGGGGGCGTGGCCTGAGGGCCCCCATCAAGCCTCGCTGGGCCGGGGGTGCGGCGTCAGGTCCCCCAGCCCGGTGCTGGGACAGGGGTCGTGGCCTCAGGTCCCCCGACCCAGGGTGGGGCATGCGGCCTAAGGTTCCCCGTCAAGCCCCACCAAGTGGGGGGCACAGCCTCAGGTCCCCTGCCCTGGCCTGGTGCCATGCAGCCTCAGGTCCCTGCTGATCACTCATTACAGGAACCCCCACCTCCGCTGTGGGCGCAGCCATCTTGTGTTATGGGAACCCTGCCTCCGCGGTGGTGCACCCATCTTGTGATGTGATGGAGTGAGGGTCAATTTGCATATTCTCTCTTTATTACATAGGATTCCTGATCAATAAGTGTACTGGTCTTTAACCACCAGGAAGAGACTGCTCCTAATTTTAATACGTTTATGTGTATGGTATCTGTATGAAAACTCCCACTAAACCAAGGTGCTGGGTTATAAAGTGTCCAGTAAGCTTTAAGTAAGATACTGGTTAAAATTTCAGCAAAAGAAATAAAAGTTGTCCATAAGGTTACTGGAAAGTTAGTTTTTTAGAAACAAGTGAGATCCTAAGATTACAAGCTAAGTGATCTTTCAAGTCCTATTTAACTCTATGCATTTAAGGATAATTATTTTGTACTGCTTCATCTCCCTAGAATCAAAAATATAAATGGGCTCACACCATAGTAGTTTCTGTTAGGGCAGCAGCACCATGGGGGTCTCTGGAATTTATTTAGAACAGGTGTAGGCTGTTTTCCTAGTAAGGCACTCCATTGTGTACCTGTGGATTGTGGGTTTAAGAACTTAAGTTACACAAGAAACTTGCTAAAGTAATCTCATTAACAGCCAAGGAGAGAAGGAAAGACTTGATGCCCCACTTTTGGGGCTTATCCTTGATATACTGCTTGATGGGCAAGTGGTTTTTTGTCGGGATCATCACCTCATCTAGGCTCAAATGTTGCTTTGGCAGATAGAAGTGGAGAAACTTGGGGAGCAGACTTTCCAAGAAAGGCCTAACTTTATATATTCTATCTGTCTTATCGATATCTGTGTCTTCCTCATCAATTATACGTAAAAAACTCCAAAGAGCCAAGAATCTGTCTCGAGTCATAACATTTCGAAATCCGGGAGTAAATCCAACAAAGTCAGAGCCTTCATTTGTCCAATAATCCTGATAGCTGGGCTTTATACGTAAGTGTTCCATATAGATCCTCAGTCCAAGAAAAGCCTTCATTTCTTCCACTGTGGCATCCTTGGAATTTTGGGCATTGTAGGAGTTGGGCTTTACTATATGCAATTGGTAGGCCCGGAGGTTGGTTTTCTCTGTCAAATTTTGCCAGAAAGTATCATCCAAAAACAAGGATAAAAAGTCAATTGGTTCACTCTCCTCTGTGATAGATCTAGGAATGTTCACTGGGCCTTTCCCATCCTCAGTGAAATTCAGATCTGTATTTGGTAATACAAAATTCCTTGTCCAACCTTCATCACCACCTAGATCTCCCCCATCAGCTGTTTGAGGGACACAACCCCCTTCTCTTACTAACGATCTAGCTCTAGATCTATAAGGTTCAAGATTCTCCTCATCACTCGAGCTTTCACTGTGTCACTTGAACTGGAAACGTATTCTTGATGAAATTCTGACTCCTCAAAGTCTGAATCAACCAAAGTATGGATCACCTGTTAGACTGTGATAAGCCTAGACCTACTTCGCTTTCCTGTTAAAGTGCTTGGTTCATTGTGAATTTTCAGAATTTTTTCACGTCAAACCACACAAAGTCACTTCAAACACATGGGGGCAGACATTTGCAATGGCTAACCATGAGGTCTGACCATGATTGGTTGGTTATTTTTAGTTTGCGACACATTTTTTTCACGTACTAGGCAAAGTACCGAAAATTAGGTACAGCAGTATAGTGGCAGATTCGGAAATTACCGAAAAATCGGTACAGCGGGCTGGTAGGGTTAAAATAACTGTGTAGTATTATAGCATATTTCATTGTCATTTTAATTTGTATTTTCCTAAAAAGTAATGACCAGTAAAACTAACCATATCGTCTTATGTGGTTATTTGGTGTCTGAATATCTCCTTTGCTGAAGAATATGTTTAAATCTTTGCCCTTTTTAAAAATATGGCATATGCCTTATTATTAAATTGTAAGAGTCCTTTTTTAAAAACATATTTTTATTGATTTCAGAAAGGAAGGGAGAGGGAGAGAGAGAGAAACATCAATGATGAGAGAGAATCATTGATCGGCTGCCTTCTACATGCCCCCCAGTGGGGACAGAGCCCACAACCCAGGCATGTGCCCCTGACCAGAATCAAACCCAGGATCCTTCAGTCTGCAAGCCAACGCTCTATCCACTGATCCAAACCAGCTAGGGCTGTAAGAGTTCTTTATATAGTCCTGGCCTGTGTGGTTCAGTGGTAGAGCATCAGCCCATGTATTAAAGGGTCAAGGGTTCAATTCCGGTGTAGGAGGCAACCAATCGATGTTTCTCTCTCTCCCTCCCCCCATCTCTTCCCCATCCTCCCTTCCACGCTCTCTAAAAAAATCAGTGGAGAAAATATCCTCCGTGATCAGGCCTAAACTGGCAGTCGGACATCTCTCTCACAATCCAGAACTGCTGGCTCCCAACCACTTGCCTGCCTGTCTGCCTGATTGCCCCTAACCACTTCTGCCTGCCAGCCTGATCACCCCCTACCCCAGCGGTTCTCAACCTGTGGGTCGTGACCCCTTTGGTGGTCAAACGACCCTTTCACAGGGGTCGCCTAAGATCATCCTGCATATCAGATATTTACATTACGATTCATAACAGTAGCAACATTACAGTTATGAAGTAGCAACAAAAACAGTTTTATGGTTGGGTCACAACATGAGGAACTGTATTTAAAAGGCCAGAGGTTGAGAACCACTGCTAACCACTCCCCAGCCAGCCTAATTGACGCCTAACTGCTCCCCTGCCTGCCCGATCGCCCCCAACTGTCCTCCCCTGCCAGCCCGATCGCCCCTTGCCAGCCTAATTGCTCCCAACTGCCCTCCCCTGCTGGCCCAATCGCCCCCAACTGCCCTCCCCTGTCAGCCCGATTGCACCCAACTGCCCTCCCCTGCCGGCCTGGTTGCCCCCAACTGCCCTCCCCTATAGGCCTGGTTGCCCCCAACTGTCCTCCCCTGCAGGCCTGGTTGCCCCC